GCCACCTTCAGCATTAACAGACAAGGCATATATGGCAGCAAGGATAACATCATACTCAAGAGCAAAGATATCAACTCCAGACCTGAGCAGCTCTAGCCAGTGGGGGCGCTTATCCTCGTCGCCAAACTCTGCGCGCCAAGCGTCGTCAAGGCGGGAGAAGCAGCAGTGCTGGGTGTGAAGCTTCCCGCATGTCTTACCAGCGCGGTCACCTGTGCGAATGACATACAGGCAGCGAACACTACCTCCAGACGCCCCATGCTGAGCAAACCACTCACGAAGCTGCTGAGGCGTAGGGGTCTCGCTCCGATGTTGCTGCTGCTGCCTTTGGCCACCGCCAGAACCTCCTCTCTGAACAGCTCCACCTCGACTGCCACCACTGCCGCCGCAACCACTCCCACTGCCGCCACCACCGCCATCCCCACCCCCACCGCTGCCACCACCGCCGCCACCGAAGCCCCCAATCCCACCACCACTCCCACCGCTGCCACCACCTCCGCCACCTCCACCGCCTCCACTGCCTCCACCACCACCACCCCCGCTGCCACCTCCACCACTCTTGCCTCCCTTGCCCTTGCCGTTGCGGCGCTTCCCACTAGGAGCAGAAGCAGCCTTGACCTCCTCAGTACCAAGGATGTCAACAGCAGCAGCAGAAGCGTAGGAGGGGGCAAGGGGGGAGGGGGAACACCCCTCAAACAAGGGTGTGCGAGGAGTGCCACGAGCAGCACCTACAGCGACTACGCTAGTCTCAGCTGCAAGGAGGTGCTGTCAAAATATGTTTACATATTTTATATAATCGTTTGCAGTTGTAGTGTAGATATTGCATCATGTTTGGTGGTGCACCTCCTTGTGTTGCTGTTTACCTATTTGTACTTTCTATTCTCATTAGTGAAGCCTCTCTTTTGGCTTGCATCTTCTCTCGCTACTTTCCTAAGCCTAAACCCTAGGCTTCACTTAACCTTCTTGATTCAACAGGTGCTTCTCGAGCAGGTCGACAGTGAGGTCTGTGGGGTCAAGAGCGAGAAAGTGGTCCCTGACTACGCGAAAAGAGTCAGGGAGTCGGGTGACTATGAAGTAGAGAGTGATGTACTTCAGGGGGGGGGGGTGCCTGTCTAGGAACTCGGCTGGGAGGGCAGAGCGGTAGCGAGCGTCGCTAGTGCGAAGGTGAGTAACCAGGTCCTCGAATGTGGCAAAGGCTGGCAGGTCAGGAAACAGGTAGGGCAGTATAAGGCGGCCGAGAGCAGCAGTGGCAGGGGAGGAGTAACGAGCGACTACAGTGTCGTACATGGCCTTAGCAGTCTTGTGCTGGCCAAAGTGAGCGCGTTCGGCTAACGGCAGGTGGTTGCGAACGGCTAAGCGAGCAGCAGCGTCACGGGTAAGCCACTGTGAGCGAGTCGCACTGTCAGCTGTGGCAGGAGGGGTGAAAGAGGCTCCAGACGTGTGGTCAAACAACGAAACGCTGTCTCTAGAGTCGCTCAGTAGGTACAGCTGTAATTCGTCGAGCCACATATCGAACTGGATCGGACGGCCCTCATGATCGAATGTGAGTACACTGAGAGAAGCCATAGCGGGCAGAGCATGGTGGCGCGCGACCAGCAGGGCAGCACGCAGGCAAGGCGACGCGCGAGCACTAGGGAGGCGCGCAGGGCAGGGAGAGGCGGCGCACGGCTAGGGAAGAGTGGTGCGCAGCCAGGGCAGGGCAGGGCGGCGCGGGCAGGGCGGTGCGGAAAACGGTGCGGCTGCCAGCAGGGCGACGTGCGTGCAGCAGGGCGCCAGTCAGCAGGGCTGCGCGCAGCAGGGCGGGCAGCAGGAGGGCGGCGCGAGCAGCAGGGCGGCGCGCAGCAGGGCTGTGCGAGCAGCAGGGCGACACGACGGCCGATAGGGCGACGCGACTGACAGGGCAGGGCGACGCGACAGCAGGCAGGGCGACGCGACGGGCAGGGCAGGGCGACGCGACAGCCAGCAGGGCGACGCGACAGGCAGGGCAGGGCGACGCGACTAGTGGGGCAGCGCTCTGTGGTGGGCCCTAAAAAAAAACCGGTCCTAGAACAAGACCTGCTCTGATACCATGTCAGAATACCGATTGAGAATGAATGAACTATGAATGAGTTGGATATAAATATTAACCCTAATTGGGTTGTACCCTTTATGGGCTACCAGCATACACAATGTAAGCAATATAACATTTTGACAGATCCGACAGTTTATTGTACCGTATTATGCAATTAGGGCGTGTGTGATTTTTTATTTTGCCATAAGTTTATGTTTTTGACTCGATTTAACCATTTCAACATGACTCGACTTTGAGCATTGGCAATGTTCGAACCGCAGGTGACAATGATTGTAGATTCACAATCACACACGAAAGTGCGAATTTGCAGGTTCGAGATTATAGGGGAGGAACCGAGCCGCCTTGGGGTGCGTAGGTTACCTGGTATTGTATTCTTGACAGCGCGACACGTCAACGAATCGCTGCTAAAAAAAGTGCCGGGGACGAAAGATTCGCGAGCGGGGGACTCTGCTACGGGTATCGGTTGTGCCTCCATTGGTGCACGAAAACTTCGCGAGTTTCGCTGGTTCCTCGTACGTGCCTGAAACCACACACGTTCGGTTCAGTGTGCAACACAAAGTTTGTGCATATATTCGAATCTTGTTCACATTTGTAGGTTCGCACCTGGTACTCTAGCAATCGGAGTCAACATGGGCGAAGTCTTTTGCGAACATTGACGAAACTGGTTACCACCTAAAGTTCGACCTAATATACGAACCCCAAAAAAATTCACACACGCCCTAAGCTACCAGCAGACTTCATTCGATCCTAGTTTTTGGCTGCAAAAAAACGGCTGCTACTCCCAAACAGCTCATATATTATATCGGTGTACACCTTTGAGTTAACTAGCAATACACCACGCAGCACTGTAACGCTATACGCTGGAATTTACACTGCACCATCTACGGCCAAGGGTGCACATAGAAACCGGCTTTCCTCAAATCAGTCAGCAACCCCGTCGCATCATGGCGCGTGTGATTGAATTGTGGTGCAGTCCAAGAAAACTCCGTCATGGTTGGGTGATGATAATGCACTTCCACGAACAACTCGTCTACGATCGCTGCCATGCGGGGGTTAGAGAGCCAGTGCTGCAGAATCGCCCACTCGTGCCCCTCTATATCCATCTTCACAACGACTGAGTCCTCTTCCTTCAGCTTCAGATCCTCCAGAAACCACCTGGTTACGTTGACCATATTCTGGGAGGGGGAGGGAGCGAGACGGGGGGAGAGTGGGGGAGAGGGGCGGAGAGGGTTAGAGAGCCAGTGCTGCAGAATCGCCCACTCGTGCCCCTCTATGCCCATCTCCACTATGATTGAGTCCTCCTCCTTCAGCTTCAGATCCTCCAGAAACCGCCTGGTTACGTTGACCATGTTCTGGGCGGGGGATGGGGAAGGGGCGGCGACGAGGGGAAGAAGGAGGGAGACGGGGGGAGAGGGGGTGGGAAGAGGGGAGAGAGGGAAGAGTAAGTCCGAGTCCTCTTCCTTCACCTGCAGGCCCTCCAGAAACATCCTCGCCACGTTGACCATGTTCTGGGCAGGGGATGGGGTGAGAGGGGGGGAGAGAGGGGAAGGAGAGGAGCGAGGGGAGGGGTAAGATGGGAGACTGTAACCAGGATGAGAACAGGGAGAGAGGGAGCAGGTGGATAGCAGGTCAGGAGAGCCACTGTTTCTTCTTCCTTCAGCTGCAGTTCCTCCAAGAACCACCTCGTCACTGCTGACTTGGTATATTTTTGAGGCGCCTCAAAAATAAAATCTTCCTTCAGTTGCATTTTGTCCAAGAACCACCGCATCACGTTGACAGTGTTCTGGGTGGGCGAGGGGGGAGAGGGGGCAAGAAGGGGTGAGAGGACTTTAAGTCGACTCAAAAGTCAATTCGCCCAAGAACCACCGCGTCACGTTAACAGTGTTCTGGGAGGAAGATGGGGGAGAGGGGGCAAGAAGGGGTGAGAGGAGGAGAGACAGGAAAAGACGGTGGGAGAAGGGGGGATAGGGGAGGTGGAATAAGACAGGGGACGGGAGGCGGGAGGAGGAATGGGAGAGAAGGAGCAGGAAGAAGGCAGGCAAGGAGAGCCATTGAGTGTTCCTCCCTCAGATTCAGCTTGCCCAGATACCACCTGGCCACGCTCGTCAGGCTTTGGAATTAGTACTTTACACCTGGTAAAGGAGGGTGGTAGTACTTGTTATCCTTCTCGCTGTAGCTCGTCCTGATACCTGTCACCTCTTTCTCCTAGCTGGACACATTCACTGGGAAAAAGAGCTGGGGACGGGGAGGAGTGAGATGGGAGGAAAGTGGGTAAAGAGAGTCACTGAGTGCTCCTTCCTCAGTTGTAGCTTGTCCCGATTCCACCTGGTTCCATTCACGGCGTTCTAGGAGGGAGCAAAGAGAGGGAGAGGGGGAGGGGGAAACACAGGGACAGGAGAGAAGGGAACATGACTGAACCTAGCACCTTCAATTACTACCCTCATCCAGTACCCACATCCAGTACCCATCCAGTACCCACATCCAGTACCCATCCAGTACCCACATCCAGTACCCATCCAGTACCCACATCCAATACCCATCCAGTACCCACATCCAATACCCATCCAGTACCCACATCCAGAAACGGGCAGGAAAAGTGCATAAAGAGGGTGAAGCGCTCAGGAACGGGGAGCAAGAGAGCATAAAGAGGGGTGACGTGAGAGGGGAAAGGGGAAGAGAACAGAAAAGGGTGAATCGAGCAGGAAAGGAAGGAAGGGCAGAAAGGCAGTAACGGGGGGCAATACACAAGCCAGAAGGACGAAACAGAATAAACTCTTGTACGGCTTAATATTGGTGCTTTATGTCTCTATTTCTTAATCTAACTACCTCCTCTCGGTTATCTTTGGTAGACATAGAAGTTGTAGGGGTGAACTCGTAGCGGCAACCACTCTGAGAACTCTCAAATGAGATTTCGTTTTTGTCGTCTTCTTACCCTCTCTTGGTTGTCTTTGGAAGAGACGTAGAAGTTGTAGGGATGAACGCGTTGCAGCAACCATTTGGGGAAGACTGCTGGGCCTCCTCGTCTCGGGCGCAGGCGTGAATTCAGACCCAAACCGTTTGCCAGTACCTGAAGCAGTTCAGAGCGGTGAAGAAGGGTTTGAAGGGGTTGGACGACAAGTTTCCTTCAGTTTTTTTACTAGTTTTGTGAACGCCTGAAACTTCTTTCAAGTATTGGGGGGTATATGCATTTAATATAGCAGGAGAGGTGTATCAGGGGGAACGAAAATGAAGAAAGCGGGGGGAGGAGTATGAGCGCTGGGCTCAAGGAAATGGGAACGGGTATTGTACGCGGGGGCATTTTTTCGATTTATTACATATTGCACATCTTCATCCCCACGTTACAGACCATAGAAGACATGTTTTGAAGAAATAACCCTGCCTATGTTGGTCACTTCATATGTCAAGGATGCATTCAGTGTATGCATAATATTGACTGAGAATATTGTCTTTGTCCCTAGTTCGCACTCACCCTCCCTCCTCTCCCAACCCCAACAACCCCCCTTGCCCCCACCACCCCCCCACTCCCCACTACCCCCTCCCCCACCATCTCTCCCGGCGCTCGTTAGCTGTTCGCATAACTTTCTTACCCCTCCAATATGCTTTTATTTGAAGTATTTCATATATGCACAGTGCACACACCTTCGGCGTTGTTGGAGATGGCGTTTGAAACACATCGGGTCTCGCTTCCACCGCGTGGATCTCGGTGAAATCGAGGGGGTACATTTGGAGAAACCAGGTGACGCTCGTGTTGAACTCCTTGGCTCCCAGGTCGAGGAAAACCCTCCGCTCCCTGTGGGAAAGCGAGATTCGTGGATGGGAGCACAAAGGGACGGGCTGGAAAGGCTTCCTCAGATCTGCATGTTTTGACGCTCTGATTGGTTGGACCCTGGTTTCGCTTCCACCGTGTGAATCTCGGTGAAATCGAGGGGGTAACATCTGGAGAAACCAGGTGACGCTCGTGTTGAACGTCGTGGCTCCCAAATCGACATAAACCGTCCGCTTGCTGTGGGAACGCGGAGTTTTGGGGGCAGATTGGAGAAACCGGAGGGAAGATGGGGAAATGTTTCATTCTAAGAAGGCACAAAGTAGTGAATATGTTTGGTTTAAGCCGACGCGTACTATTACTAAGTTCGAACTGTATCGAGCTACCAGTGAGTAATTGATACTACTACCACCCACCTCGCGTGCATTGTAGGATCCATGGCGCCTCGCATCAACGGCAGAATCTGCGTCTTATCTTCCACGTCCTCCGTGAACCCGAGCGTCCACCCCCGGCGGAAGTTTAAATGCGCATCAAGCTCCTCTATAGGCAGCCCCGCTACAAGGCACGGGGAAACGCGGGGTGTCCACTGCGTGTATTGTGGGGAAGGCGGGCAGGGGGAAGGGAAGAGAAAATGTCTTTTGAAGGAATGGCATAGATCCCCTGTGAGATTGGGAGAGGAACATTTTGCGGATTGCGCGCATGCACTGGGGGAATGCTTGTCAGGGCGTGACGGAAAGAACCTTGAGGCACCTGAACGAACAAAAAGGTTGGGAAAAAGGGGAACAAAAAGGGCACATTTTCGGGACTGTAGCAGCGCACTCGAGTGCGCTGAATCATATCCCCCTGACCGGGGGTGAATTGGGACCAGGAGCCTTGGAGAGGCGTGCGGGGAGGTGTATGGAACGGGGGAGAGGAATGCGAGGAGGGAGGGGGAAACCGGGGGGAAGGAATGCGGGGAATGGGGGAGAGGAAATCGGGGGTTGTGTGGAGGGGGGAGAGGGGGAAGGGAGAGGCGGGGAGGGAAGGAGAGGGGGGGAGGAAATGTTGTGTGTGGGGGGAAGGGTGGAGGGGACAACAGGCGGGAAGGTGGAGAGCACGAGAGGAGTAACACTGATTGAGCCGACCTAATACTGTCTCGACGCGAAAGTCACCTAAGGGCCCACGTAACTTGCCCCAAAGTCAGGCTTCGAGGTTACTAATACAAGCACTAGGTACCTTTGTAAAACCCCACGGATCTGGGCGCGCGCCGCCTTGAACTGGACGGCTGGTTGACAACCAATCAGTGCATGACTCTGTCTCTCCCGCCGCACCACCTTCGACGCTTTTGGCTTGCAGCGTGAGACCGCTTTCTTGCGGTCCATTTGCGAGCCCTAGTTCTGTCGCCAAGATATTGCCGTTCTCTCCGCAGCCATGGGGAAACTGAAGGGTGACGATCGAGAGCGAGCAGAGGAGAATTGTCGCAATTATTGCCCAAGCGAACGCGACGGGGTATGGTATTATCGACTCGACGGCCTTGATACGCGATATCATCGTCACGGTTTGCAAAGCGTGGGTTTCCGGAAATTACTTTTAAGGCTCCGCAGAACTCGTCACGGTGCTGTTTTCCGGAAATGTTTTTTTTTCACGTGCTATGAGAAGCGTATTATCTCCGAAATGCTTGAGTTGATTCGCTGGGCGGAATGTCACGTGACTCGTGTGGCAAGGTTTCAGATGAATTACGCGACTCGCGGAGCGCAGGAAGTACTCGCGACGGGAGGGCGTGGACTTTAGGCGACTATGGTTTGCAAGAAACTATCCTTCCCGCCGCAGCGTCTCGTCGTACGACGCGACTGTCGCATAAGAGGCGTGCGCTGTCAACCTTGCGTGCTATGTGCATGGGGGTTGCGTGACATTAACTGATTCTGACTGTGAAAAGGGAATAATGAAGAGAATGCATGGGTTTGCGTCTCTTCGGTACGCCTAAAGATTGCGCTGCGTACAAGTGAAGTGACAGAAAATACTAAAGCAATGGCATCAAGTGCAAAATAGAGCACATGATGCAATAGCTGCTCGTCGATAGCGCTGAGCTGAATTCATCCGCCCACCAAGGAGGGAGTATGATCTCTCGAGGCGCACTCTGTACAGAGTGCGCACATCTGCGTCAGAGGAAATTTGCCATGGGTGTGTGTGTGGTGGGTGCCATGGGCACCGTGTGCTCGCTGGCTGGTGCCCCCTAGAAAAAGTGGCCCAGCAAGTTGCGGTTGTTAGCAAGCAAAGCTTTATACTACCCTTGTACACATGTGCAAGATTCTCACGACATTGCGAACCCGGTACTGATACAGTGGAATACAGTTGACTCATACACACGTAAAAATTATATCAATTTAGGCCTTTCCCCATACACTCTGCTCGTTATAACATTGTGCAAGGGATAAGGGCACCACCGTTCCCTCGTGCGAAGAATCCCCAAGAACTGACAACAAACACTGATTGGTGACTCGACCCTGCGTGGCTTCACGTCAATGCTTGTCACGTCTCGGGACACCAATCAAGGCAGCGGCGATCACCACGTCACGGTCGCAGATCCCCAGTGGTGGCTGCTCCAAGGAGGCTGGACGCCAGTTCAGCGATTTCCGTGGATACGGGAGCAGTCTGCCCTGGTTTTAAAAACGATTTGCCAGCTGACAAGTCGTTGCATTTTGTCGCCAAGGTGCTTGAAATGCAGATGGGTGGGACTGATGGAGTGTGGTCAACATCACGCTTCGGTCAGTCCGAAAGTCCAGCGCGACTTTGTATGTACTGTACCAGCAAACAGGTTCAATATACCACAGAACAAATGTTTCAGGATTGCACTGTACAGAGTAAATAAAACATTGTGTTTTCGGGCATGGGAAACAATGGGCATGCCACGACCACAAACAACTAGACAACCAGCCTCTGTCAGGCCAGACAGGAAGGTCAGGTCAGGTCAGCTGATGCGTTTCTTTCACCATTGTCAACTGCCTCGGAGAATGCGTTGATGATGGGCTCTGCTGAATGGCGGTACGCGTCGCCGACCGGGGCATAATTGCGCCCGAATATGCGACCCAGAATGCGACGGTGAAAGCATCTCTTCCCAAACCGCCCCACGCATGTCCCCCCAACCAAACCATACCCCGCCGCCGTCACCATCAACATCACAGTTTCCTTCCACCCGCTGCAAACTTTTGGAGGTGCTTCGGCGCAAAAGGAATCCGCTCCGCCCCACCGCTTCTTCTGACGATATGGGCGTGCACGCAACGCGGTTTGCCTGAGCAATGGCCCTCCCCGCCTGCGTGTTCGGGGAAAGAAGATTCCCCTCCCGCCCCGCCGATGCACATCATACACATCCTCGTTCATCGAACGCGTCAGTTTTCCGCCTGTGGATGGAAGCCCCGTGAAACTGCTGGTTCGAGGCAATCGCTTGATAGCCTGCTCCCCCAACCCAAGCTTTCCCTTCCGCCAATCCCCTTGTGTCCAAGCATGACCCCGCCTGAGAATTATGGATATGAAGAAACCCCATCAAGAAAGTATCCAAAGGTGTGTAGGTGGTACTCATGTAAAATCAACGAAAACACAAATTCGCTTAATCACTCCAATTCGAGAACAAATCAGTCTGTATCATATCTGAAACACTGACCGAAAGCATGGAACACACTTTCCGAATCCGCAACATCTCCCCCTCACAAGCTCAACTCTGCGCTTTCCCCTCCCTTCCGCCGTCCCTCCTCTCCGCTCCTCCTCATTCCACCAGGACTGCACATGTCGCCCACTTCCCTACGTCAAATATTCCTAGACTGTTGGCTCAATGCATTTCCTATCTCCTCAGCATCCACCGACAGTGACAGTCAAACCTCGCATCCTTTTCGAGTCTCGAGGATCCACTTTACGCCACACACGTACGACTCTATCAGAAGTTCTTAGCGTCCTGCTCTTGTCAGCATCCGAAGCTAAGGAGACTCGCAGATTTAGGGACCACTAGCGTTGGTCCAAATATTTTATTTTCGTTTCTCAGGCGTTCTTAGTCCCTGGCCATGGAAGCCTTTCGTTGCGTTGCCGCTCTACGTCTCTCTAGCTTTCCATCACAAACTCTATGCGCCAAAGTTCCGAGACGCATCACCAAGGAGAGCCCATCCGTTCTTCGAGTCTCATGCGATTCCTCCGCCGAATCAACTCTAAGCCGAAGCCCGGCGAGGAAGAGCTCCGAAGCTGACACGTGGCAAGACGTGGAGCGTCGTTCGCCTTTCCTTGAGCGCGAAACCACAGGCTTCGTCAGCAACAGCGTGTATCTCGCCGACACAACAACGCTTCTACCCGGAAGCCACACACCTCTTGACGACGAGGACGATTTCGGCCACGATTTCGCGGAAGACGAACGTTTGACGCGGATCGGCGAGAGCGTTGACACGTGGCAGGACCGGAAAGTCGGCGAGTTTATGACCCCGAACCCATTGTGTTTCCGGAAAGAGACGTCGTTATGCGCTGCGACGAAGGCGCTTCTGCGGTATCGTCTTACGGGAGCGCCCGTCGTGGAGCCGCTTGAAGGGGATGCGGTGGGAATGGGTCGGCTCGTTGGCGTGCTGTCGCAACGGGATCTTCTCTGGAAGCAGCGGAAGCCTTTTCCTTCTGTAAGCCACGTCCTTTCGCCCTTCATATCAGGCAATGCCTCTCCTCTCTTGTCTGTTCGTCCGCTTCTTTCCTCTTGTTCCTTGTCCCCCTTCCCCACGCCCCCCCGCTGCCCCTTCCCCTTCCCTTCTCCCACCCCCCCATCCCCGCTCGTTCAATTTTTTCTCCTCCTGATCTCCCTTCTTCCCTCATGAACTGTGCCGTGTGCTTTTGTTCCGATGTGCTTTCAACGACTCCTACCTTCACTCGGTTCCACGTTATAATCTACCGAATCCTTGTGTTTCCTTTGTTCTCGATTGCGTGTATGGTGGTGTCATTTACCTTTCCACCACATCAGGAAGAGGACAAGATTCACCGCCTTTCGTGCTACTACGGCAACCTGAACCACGGGCCCATGGTGGACACGCTGAGACATCAGATAACGAAGATCATGAGCGAGAAGGTGCGTTGTTTCTACTGAATCCTTCTGACCTTGGTAACCCCTTTTTTTTTCCGTTTCCTGCTATCAACAGAACAGTAGATTCCAGGCGTTCACTTGCTTTCGTCATATATTTTCATTGTTGAATTTTCCCCTGATCCATCTACTGTTTACTTCATCACTGAAAATACCCTTCTTTCAGGTCGACGAGTCAATGACCGACACACCCGTCTACGTTGAAGCGGATGCGCTTGTCTCAGACGCTGCAGAGCTGATGCTCAATCATAATGTAAGCATGAGTACCGGTGCAACCCTGGTGGTTGGTTTGCAGGAATACTGCGCAGCCATACTCTCGATTTCTTAAATCTCTGCTTCCAGCTTGCACACCGTTTTGAATCGCGCTTCCTCGTCCCTATTTTCTTCATCTCAGATCGCCCGTCTGCCAGTAGTTGCACCGGTTGGCGATGATGACGGACGGATGACTGTGGTGGGAATAATCACGGAAAGCGACGTTCTCAGGCATACACATCGGATGCTGTGATGTGGAATCGACGTTCACATATCAGCGACGTTCACGGAGTAAGCTGAATCTGCAGCTTCATAGGCTTCATGACCCTGATTGCGCGTCATGCACGCGGGATGAGGTCCGCATCGGAATTGAAGGGGATAGCCTGTTTAAAAAAATCGAATCATGGTCGGCGTTGGTACTTCAGATGCTGGAGAGGTGTAGCTGATTTCTGCTTATAATGACAGGCGCGGTGTCCATGAGATGGAGCTGCCACAACGCGTGTGAGGCGATTCACATAAATATAATAATCCGTGCTGGAGCCCTGCAGAGAGTGCTTCGGCCAGCTGCTGCTGCTGCTGCTGCTGCTGTTTGTATTTGGGAGATCTCGACTGGCTTGTCTCGACTGGTACTTTTCCAGGGAGTGGGCTGGGCTCGACAACCTTACACACCTCTTGTTTTTATTGTTGATGTTTTCGTTTTATCTAGGGTTGTTGCTTGCAGCCCTGAAGGTGCTCTTCATTTACTTACTCTTGATGGTTTAGCTTGAATGATGTGTTTATGATGTGTAGAATGGTGTACATAGATAATACTCATTCTGTTTGTATACCAGGTCATACAATTTTAAAACATCATTCATAGTCAGGATACACAATTTGAAAGGGAAAAAAGTTACGCACCATCTATGAAATGAACGATATTGACCAGGGCCTAATTTGTCAGTGTACATCACACTGCAATACTGATGAGAAGGGTGAATTTTAGGGCCTACACTGATGTGTTTGGGTAATTTTTTTGAAAGTTAGTGTTACACT